GAAATAAATGCAATATGGGTATCATTTTCGAGGTATTTGGGGGTGCTCATTACGAATATGGCACTCATTTCTAAACCCAAGATGGCGGGCACGATTTTTCATATAATGGCAAGTTGGGGATCGTTTTCGAGGTATTTGGGGGTGCTCATTAGGAATATAGCACTTATTTCTAAATTCAAGATGGCGGACATGAGTTTTCAAATAACAGCAAGTTGGGTGTCGTTTTCGAGGTTATTTGGGGGTGCTCATTAAGAATATTGCACTAATTTCTAAATCCAAGATGGCGGGCACGATTTTTCGAATAATAGCAAGTTGGGTGTCGTTTTCAAGGTATTTGGGGCTGCTCATTCCGAAAGTAGCACATATTTCTAAATCCAAGATGGCGAAGAATTAGAAGAAGAAGAATTAGAAGTCTTGCCCGCTGTCTTGTGTTCAGATATACATGCCATTTCCTTATGGTTTACCAAAAATACATTTTTGAAAAACCTACAAGCGAGTTTAAGTGCGACTATCGTATTTGAATATATAAATAGCCTGATATTATCTGTGGGTATGTTTACATGAAAAGTACACGATAACAATAAAGAACCTGAACCTGAAAGTTATTTATACACGATTTTGGAGAACTGACGATGACTTTTTAGTCAGTGTTAGTTCCCTGAAATAATTTTAGTTACGAACTTTTGAGTCTGGCCAAGACAATTTTTTAAAATGAGTGTATGATGAACAAGAATAATGATTTTTCACATGAAACTAATTAAGGCAAATACTAAATATATTTCGTAAAAATAGCTAACGTAAATTCCTTACAATGTTTTTCAAAATTTTTTTTTTGTTTGTCAAAATTTGTAGAAATTTTGTAACCGTCGCGATATCGCCTATTCTCAAAAAATTACGTAATATAATTATTTTGAAACAGAATAGCAAAATGGGGAGAAAAAACCCGTTACTTTGCAACATTTTCGTATCTTGTTGCAACGAAATTAATTTTCTGTTTTAGTGAATATTTACATAAAAATACAAGTTGAAACGCGTTACTTCCTTGTGGAATGTGATGTTAGTGTCTATTTTATGTTTGTCTGATCTATTTTTAAACCCAATTACCGCACATTTCGTCATTTTTAGCAAAAATCTTTGAGCTGTTCGCGGTGCAACTTGACCTTGAGCACTGACTGCCCGCTCGCTCATGTAGGCCCATACGGCGTCCTACAATTTGCCTCACTTAGCGTGTGCGGGCTAGGTTTCTATGCGTTACTATTCTAAGACTGTAATATAATATCTTTTTCAGAATCAGTGTTGAGTTGGTCCACTTTCAATAGACGTAGCGTCCCCTCGTCAAGTTCCTGTCGATTTTTAACATAAGGTTTTCGGTTACTGGTTATAAATGGATCAGAAGTACAAAGTAACGTGCGAAATACATCTTCATTTGTTGCAGGTCTAGAGCACTTTCTTGCGTGGTGTAATCTAAATTTTTTTTAGTCTTTATTACGAGATTCTTGAGCGTTTTCTGAAAGTTATGCGATAGGTAACACTGCTAAATGGTTAATTATACCTTCTCCGTGAATTAACATTTTGTGTGCCGGAGATGGCATATAATACCAATCATATTTACTGACATATATTCTTGCAGTTTTAAAAGCATATTCCCCAAATTTTTGGGAAATATTTCACACGTAGCTGACCATTTTTGAAACGAAAGGTTGTAAGAAATATACAAAATCATCTCCATACAGCGAATCCAGGCGTGCAGTGTTATATATATATATATATATATATATTATATATAGTGATAATCCATAACGAAAAGAATTTTCATTTTCGGGCCTAGCAGTTACATTTTGCAAATTATTCATTAGACGTGGAGTAGCACCACAAATATTACATGCTGAACTTGAAGGAGTGTCGCTTATTACCTGAGCTACTTTGCCGTCTATCATGGTCAAAAAAGTTCATGTTTAACTTGAACGCCATTGCCTTCCTTAACAATCAACGATGGACTCAAAGAATCTATTTGATTTTGAATATCGTTAACAACAGCTTTACTTTTCTCAGGAGTTTCTTTCAAAAACTCAATTAAAATAGGGCGACAGAATCTCACAGATGAAGGCGCAGGATTTTGCCAAACAACAGTACCAGTCGTTTCATCAATTAATCTGATGGGCACAACAGATGCGACGAATAAGTATATGTCAGACAGAAGTTCAGACTCCTCTGGAAGTCTTTGCTTATACTCACTTTGACCAGACGAGCCATCACATCCCCATTTACTGTATAAAACCAACTGTTTCAAACCGTTTTTGTACACGGAATCTATCAACAATATCCTCGCCGTTGTGTGATCTAATAAATCCTGTAGGGATAACATTTTTGCACGTGTGTTTGTAGTTTCAATAGCTGATGCAGGTTGGTAGCAGTTCTGTTTACTTTTTTGTACTTTGTAATAAGGAACAGTTCCGTTCATCCATAATATTCTTCAAATATAAATATTGAGCCCTGGTCAGATCCAATTCAATAAATACACGTAATGCTTCTTGATCGCTCAGCGTTTGGATGGTACTTCTATATCTATGTATTAGAGTCATCCATCAATTTTAGCACTGAATTTTTTTTCTCTGCATCTGCAGACCTCAATGCCGCCACGATTTTTGCTTCATTACTTTCTCCCTTTGATCGCAGCCCTTGAATATATGCATCATAGACGTGTTCAAATCTATATTCATTAAGTAGTGTAGTATGTTTGCGCTTCTTACTAGATTTTGAAGAATTTTCATAAGACCTACATGGTCTTCCTCGTTTTCTAGTTGAAGTAGATAGAATGGAATCGATTGTCGTTGACAACTCTTGATCCAACCAATCACTGTTAACCCTCAAAAAGGCTTCTTTCTTTCGTGATGCTTGGCTCCATCGACTGTTAAACTGTGTTAGCAAATTTTTTTTAAATCACTAGTAATCAAACGTAAATTGTCCTCCGAAAGTTCATAACAATCTCGTAAAAATGTTTCTAGAGCCGATTCATTTCTTCCACCTTCAATGTAGGATTAGTTCTCGTCTCAACCATTTGAAGGTGCTCATTTTCAAAGGAGTTGAAAATGTATATTCAGAACAAACTACTGCTTATTTTAATAAATTTATGAAATTAGTGTGTCAGAGCATTATATAGTAATGGTGTCGTGTGAATAATATTGATAAATATCATAAATGCAACCGCATCTATATTATCTTATCGCGTTGCATTGATAAGGGTATTTTTCTGCGGTAGGACATTTGTTACGATTTCTTTCATATCTTTAAAAACCGCAAAAAACCGCAGCTGATTTTTATAAAATTTTGATAATGAACGCTATGAAATAATACAAAATTCGAAGCTTCGGCAAGCTTCGCTAACAGTCAAAACCTTTGATGAATTTGATAAAGACAGGTTAATGTCTCCATTTTTAATTATGATTTGTTTTCTTTACATTATACAACAAATTTGAAAAATATCAACTATTTTTGATATTTACGTAAGATGTGCTTTATAGAAATATATAATAGCGTATCAATGTAAATAAAATCAATACGAAATACGACGTCGAAAGTTCCAAAATTGTACGACACAACGAGATGAGTACGGGTAAGGACATTTTGGAGGTATTTTTATTAAATCAACGTACCTATCTAACATAAAAAACCTTCAGTATAATAAAGTATGACATCTAAACTATCAAATAAAATTAAATATGTATTTCAATTATGGCATTGGTCAAAACCATTTTTGATACGCCGTTGTTCTACTATTTCCCATAGTGCACCACTGAGCAATTTTACTGAAGTACATAAACGGTGTAAAAGAGCCTCTAAAGTCTTTAAAAAATAGACATAAGTTAAAACATATCCCAGTTTTAATATTTTTTAATAAAGAAGGGAAGGACAATACCATCGAAATACTGCGCACAGTTCTCCAACAAGATCTAAAATTGTAGGCATTTTTATTTATTTTTAGATCTTACGATCCGTGACTAATATATTTGGTAGTCATGCCACTGAATATCAAAATTCTTTGTTAAAAACCGTAACTTACGTTATTTACACTAAATTAAAATGGTAGTAATTGTGTAAGACACAACTTTACAAAGTTTTTTATACATATATGTGTATTTAAATTATCAAATTAATAAGATGCCAATGTCAAGAAACTTATTCAATCCAGTGTCATGCCATTAAAATTTATTTTATCTGTGCAATCTATAAACACAATATAAAATGCATATCTACCAATAAATACATACCTATACTTTCTGCGTAAAATCATAAAAACTATGTCCTGTCTTTTTTGTCAAGGATATTTTGCAGTTAACCGCTGATGGCCTTGACTGCACCACAGTATAAGACAAGCCCTGCCAATCCTAAAACTGCTTTTTATTTACAAGCAGAGGTTGTAACTAGCTCCACCCTTTCTTTTATTAACACTTTTTTGTCAAGAGCTTATGTTTATAGTAAAAATATGCTCCCGGACACATAATTCGAAGCACATTGCATTTTCAGTATTAAATGCCTAGCTTAAACAATGCTTGATTGCTCAAAAATGCTATTATGCAACTTTGAAACTGGTACCAAACGTCATCTCCTTAAGTCCTTATTGAAAATTTGCATTTAAAAATATAATAGCGGAGAAAACTTTTTCTTCAATGCTAACTATAAAACTATAAAATATTATTATATAAAATTGTATTAGGATAAAAATGCAAGGTGGCTCTAATTATGTGTCCGGGAGTAATAATATATCTAGCCTCTAAACGCTATTAATTGACAAGAATTTAAAGAGCGGGAATGCGCTACTGGTTCGCCGTTGCCTGCTCGCAAAAAGAACTTTAAAGGTGGCGAGACGTCAACTTTGCTGATAGTAATTTAATGCTAATCGAAATGTTAAAAATATGCCTGTCTCTTTCTTTCATGCATAGCCGTCCCTATCAGCGTTACAATGTTGAATGGTTTGAAAGTTGTTCTTTGTTCTTGTTCCCACTTCCATTGCGACCAACTACGTCGCCGCGTCTCGTTGATCGGCCGTTTGATCGGCCGGCCTTCACTAAATAATACAAACTGCGCAAGCAAGCCACTTTTTAAAAGTATACTTTGTAATTTAATTAACTACATACACAAATTCGTAAAATTATGTCTGTAAAGTGCATTTAATGAACTGTGTTAATGCTATGCATTTAAACTTAATTGTATTCGTAGATTTAAAATAATAATTAGGTTAAAGAAACTTAAAACATAAAAGCAAAATTATAAAAACTAAATTTGAAGTGAATTTTACGGTGTAGAATAAATTCTTATACGAAGTGAAGGTATTTTAACTTAAAAATAAATTAAAGTATATTTAAAATTAAAATGAGGTGTGTGAAGTGAAACACAACATACAGACAGTGTATTTGCAATTAATGTTTCATTAGTGTACCTCGGTGAAGATTATCAGCGTTTTTAAACATTTACGTGTTATTTCTTATGGACTGTGGATATTATACCCTCTTTTATAAGGTAAGAACAAAAATAAACATAAGTTTTTTTTTTTTTCAAACAAAAATTTTATTCCTTAGGCGCCATAGCAATACGGAAAAACTTGGTTAGGTGTATGTTATACTGGAATGTTTTGTTTTTTTAGTGCTCTAAGTGTAATAAATTAATAAAAAAATTATTAGCACTGCAGCAAAAGGGCTAGCGAAAATAATAGACAATATTATACAGTGTGTTAGGGCACGCACTGTACAAACTTCAAGGGGGTGTTTAGTATTCAATATTATGTGAAAAACACTAATACATGTGGGGTCAAAACTCGACTCCCTAGGAATGGCAGCCATTTTGATTTTTTATACTTAGTTTGCTAAACGTTTGTTCTAAAATTATCATATTATGAGAAGTAAAAGCAGCACGAACATAAAAAATATTTTTCGGAAAGCTAAGATTAGCGGCAATTAAATAAAATATCTGTCATGTACATAAAAAAGTGAGGGATTGCCTAATAAAAATAATGAATGTAAATTTTTACCAAAAAAACTGCCAAAAAAACTAGGTTTTTGTAATTTAATCCTAAAATAACCAAATTAAGGTACTGTTTTTATGTATGAATTTTAAAGTATTTCAGCTGTTCTTAAAAACACGACAAAAATCATAATCCTATGTCCACAATTCTAAAAGTTACAGCTTCTGCAACATAACGTCTCCGAGAGCGAAATAAGTAAATTTTACAGTCTTTCTAGTAAATTGTTTTGTGTTGAGATGTAGTAAGTTAATTTGAAATAAAAAACAGTAAAAAATATTAGATTATTTATTTTACAAAAAAAAAGAAACACATAAATTATAAAAGGTGTTCAAAATGTCCCCCCCTATTTAGAAGGCAAGCTGTTGTCCGAATTCCCACCTGCTGCGTGGCCCGATATAAAATTTCGGGATTTGCACGAATTTCTTCAGCAGCTTCACGAATGCGCGCCGATAGCTCCTCTCTCGTATTCACTGGGTTAAAATATACTTTTTGTTTCATACAACCCCAAAAAATAATCTAATGGAGTTAAATCCGGACTACGCTACGCGGAGGCCACGCAACAGTGCCGCCTCTTCCAATCCACTGTGGATAATTTTCATTCAAGTGCTGTCTCACAGCTGTGGCGAAATGAGCAGAGGCTCCATCCATCTGCAACCACATTCCTCGGAGACGTGCGATTGGCAATTCTGAGAGTAATTCCACAAACTCTGTCCTTAAAAATTCCAAAAATCTTGGGCCATTTAATCTTTCCGGCAACTCCACCGGTCCAACTAAATGGTTATTAATAATACCAGCCCAAACGTTGACAGAAAACTCATGCTGGAATGAGGATGGTCTCACTGCATGAGGGTTTTCGGTAATCAACATATGTAAATTACGATAACTGGTTATCCCCGCTCTTGTAAACGAAGCTTCGTCGCTCCATTAAATCTTCTTTAAAAAGTTTGGCTGTTGCCGCACCTTTTGATTAATCCACGCACTAAAAACTGAACGTGCTGCCTAGTCCGGATCACTAATATTCTGCACGCGTCGAAAATGGTAAGGATATAAGCCTTTTCAAAATACGCCACACTGTCCAATGCGACATACCAAGTCGGAGAGCAATTCGCCTCGTGCTTAATCTTGGATCTCTGTAGATCATATTAAGAACGGTTTCTTCATCATAAACTGGTATTTCACGTGCACGTTCACCTACTGGTTGACGAATACCATTTTCTGCCAATCGCCTATGAATATCACGAAATGTCTGGTGATTAGGTGTAGGCCGATTTGGGAATCTCCTTCGGTATTCACGAACTACTGCCCGCGCATTACCATTGCAAAGTTCATAGATGAAATGAATATCTGCAATATGCGCACTTGAATACTGCTGATTATTCATGACGAATCAACAATAAATTTCACTCCAAAAGCACTTTTGGTCTTGACCAACACATCTTGATGTGTTGTCTGAGTAGAGAGTAACAACTGACTGTTAATTGTTGAATGAAAAGAACCTTTAAGTAACCTTAGAACTTTTTTTCAATCAGGATTGTGCTTAGGGGCTTATCTTTTGTCCCTTTTACACTTGCAAGCTGGGCAGAGTGAGCCAGGTAATAAATGGTTGAACTCATCGCCATTGTTGTAACCGAGAGCGATCTTTTGTGTTGTTAAGATACTAAGTTCGAGTAGTAAAAACTTTTAGAATTGTAGACATACGATTATGATTTTGGTCTTGTTTTTAAGAACAGCTGAAATACTTTAAAATTCATACACAAAAACAGTACCTTAATTTGATTATTTTAGGATTAAATTACAAATACTTAGTTTTTTTGGCAGTTTTTTGGTAAAAGTTTACATTTATTATTTTTTTTTGGCAATCCCCCACTTTTTTATGTACATGACCATTGACTTATAAATAAATGGACGACGGGTCTAATACAAAAACCACGAAAAAAATGTCCCAAGTCAACCTATTCGAAATTTAAATTGTAATGTCATCGCAGTATCGCGCTGTCAGTCGAACAAATGAAGACTAAAGCGGAGTTTGGCGCTCTGTATACGATTTTAGCGCCTTACAAGTGCGGACACTTTTTAGCGCGGACCCGACGTCCATATAATTGTAAGTCAATGTACATGACAGATATTTTATTCAATTGCCGCTAATCTTATGTTGTGTATGAAAAAATATTTTTTATGTTCGTACTGCTTTTACTTCTCATAATATGATAATTTTAGAACAAACGTCTAGTAAACTAAGAATAACAAATCAAAATGGCTGCCATTCCTAGGGAGTCGAGTTTTGACCCCACATGTATTAGTGTTTTTCACATAATATTGAATACTAAACACCTCCTTAAAGTTTGTACAGTGCGTGCCCTAACACAGTGTATAAAAATAATTTTCCGACGATATCTAATGTTAGTGATAGTTATCAGGATAATTTTACAATTATCCAGATGACATTTACAAATATCCAGGTTATTATTTTGATAATTTTATATTTATAATTTTAAGATTAATCGGATAAACATAACGCTGTCGCTAGCACTATTATCATATAATTATGTATCCAAACTCGATTTGTCAGTACGTGACATATTCAAATTTAGATAGACTTATAATATACACTTATATTATGGCAAAAATCTTTAAATCATTAGGATTTGTTGACGTCAATGGATTACATTATTCATTGCCCGTGGTCCAACTACGTAGTCCAACTAGTTGGAGGAGCAATATTGCATGGGCATTGGACACTATCGTATTTTTAAAAATAATACAACTAGGAAATGAAACTATTTTTCAGGATTTCACTCGCGTATATTTGTTTTTCGGGCCCTTTACAGGTCCCATAGTCACGGTCGGTTCACAGTCAACCGTGACCATGGGACCTGTAAAGGGCCCGAAACGTCGCACTATGGAAAATGATAGAACAACGGCATATCAAAAATCGTTTTTACTTAAGTCGTTATTGACGCACTTTAATTTTTTTTAATTGTATTAGAGTGGTACTTTAATATAATGTAGTAATTTTGCGTGAATTGCATTTGGAATACATATTTTTTAATGTGAGAAATTGTAATTCGTAAGAATGTCTATTTCAGGTCTGTTCGCTTCAATACTTTAAATTTCATTTCTTTCAAAAACTTGTGCGAATATATATAAAGTGTTATGCATTTCTAAACAGCCCATAGTATATAGATTTTAAAGCAATTATAATGCTGTGAATTGTTTGATTATTTTTCTATAAAATACAAAAAGTGAGGGAAAAGAAAGGTACGTGTTTGAAATTCATCGAGACTTTTGACAGTTACCGATGTCTCCCGGTGCTTTACATTTGGTGTTGTTTTATACCTCAGATACCTCAGATATTCATAAATAACATTTATAAAAATCAGCTGCGGATACGTGCGGTTTTAGAAGTTATCGCGAAAACTACGATATAAGTCAAGAAACGGAAAACTATTTCCGCTATCTATTGTGGTTTCTTATGTTGTACTATTGAATTGATTAGTTTGCGGTATATTTCAATAAATTATAGGTATTTATTGATAACAGGGCGTTTTGTCTACATTTTGCACTTATTTTGTGGTACTACTTTAATCAACAAAATGCACACTACCCTCAGTTATGAAATTATATAAGAAGAGTGAATTAATTTAATAAAGCTATTACAAATTGATAATAAAACTAAACAAACGTTTGATAGTTACGTATCATCACTGAATTTCAAAATGTCAAATTCTTTCAAGTGTTCCAAGCGTGAATTATTACTCTCATACATTGAAGGAGGAAAAAAACTTGAAACCCTATCAACAGTTTTAAAAGAAAACTATCATGTTTCTAAAGACAACATGTGTTTTATTATCAGTGATGTTCAAAGGAATCTCATTCCTTCCTTTAATAAACGATGGGCAGAAACGTCCAGGAAAAAGGATTCGGCAAACATCAAAGACTTAATGCTTCTCAATTATTCTAAAACTAGTTTATTCCAGAATATTCCTTCATTTTGCCTATATAAGCGGGTGTATGGCCCGAACATTTGTGCAGTTCTATTCGAGCTACCGAGGTGATAACTTCGACAAGCGATATTCTAGCGAACTGTTTGAGTCGTGAACTTTGTGTGCATCTTGAGTGGTTGTGTACTAACTATAGTTTGTATTGTTATTAAGTTTAAAGAACGAAAAGTTAACAAAAATGATGTCTGATGGAAAAAAACGAAAAGTAGATACAGAGGGACGCCAGTTTCAAGAAAAATGGACTGAAGAATTCTTTTTTATTTTCACAATGGTAAGCCTATTTGTTTGCTGTGTAATGAATCCATTTCTGTAATGAAAGAATTCAATATAAAGAGGCATTACTTAACTAAGCATACTGCGCTACACTCACTGACAGGAGAATTAAGAACAGACAAAATCCAGAAGCTTACAGCAAATTTGGAGAAACAGCAACAAATGTTTCATAAACAAAGAACACAACTTGATAATGTTGTGAAAGCTAGTTTTATAGTTAGCTC